ATTCATGCCATTAAAGATGCAATATGTACCTTTCATAAAAAAAATATGGTTTTTACATATTTGCTAAAACTGTCACCATGTCATGACAGTATGTTAAGGGACAGATAATCTGCTAAAAGATTGAGCTCCTCCACAGCCATTTGAAGAAATGCACTGCTCCTGGCAAAAAATAATTAGAGCCTGAAGGAGGGTCTTAATGCTGTCAATCATACTCATGAATGTGTTACTAAATGTGCAAATGGCAGAGAAACAACTCATTGTTACATGTTCATCATTGTAACTAGCCATTCATGACAGACTCTGCTGACAGGAAGAAGCAGGAGACTGTGGGCAGTGGCACACAGACATGATTGACATCACTATGGCTCGCCTCCTGGCTCTGATTGGTTGGTTGTAGTTAGCAGTGGGAGAAGGCAGAGGAGCTTGATTTGTTTTCTTTCTTTCCACAGATTATCTGCCTCATATTATACTTTCATAACACAGTGTAAAAAAAAAAATGACATACTACAGCTTTAAATCATTAGAATGATTAATTAGTCAGTAATTAAATTTCTGTTAAATGTTTCATGGTACATTTACTTAACAATGTAATGATGTAGTTATTTAATTCTGACCCTTTTGGGCCTCTGTACTGTGCAGCCTTGTGATTCGTTCATATTAAATAAGGATTTTCTGATGTTTTAAGCTGGAATGTATTCATTATTTTGTTCATTTTCACCTCCACAATGTCCAATGTAAAGCCTTACTGTCCTTTACTTCATCACTGTTCATAAAATATGTAAAGTATTGATTTATAGCCCTGGGCAATTAAGATTTATTACATAATAAATCTTAAAGATCACTTTTGTGATCTTTAAGAGATCACAAAAGTAAAGTTTTGTCATAAAACAAAAGTTGTTTACTTTGGCATATTCTGCTTAACAAGTATGCTCTTATTTTGACCACTGATGAGCACTTCCACCTCATTCTAATGATGAAACCCACATCCTTCATGTTGTTTTGTTCTGAAAAGTCAGCGCAAAATGGCAGAAAGAAGACAGGAGAAGCAGCAGATCAGAAACACTTTGTGACACGGCTAATCTATTCAATCACCTGAGGTTTGAACTTAGTGGTCTGTGAGCAGCTAATACAAGAACTGACAGGAAAATATGAAATGTATTTAGCTTTGTTTCTTTCTGTTCAGTTGAAATAATTTTCCCATATTCATTGTTTTGACCGTTAGTAGTTCTTGTTTTATTTGTTAGTTTGCAGCTTATTTTTATTTTCAGTTGAGATTGTCTTTCCCCAGATTTTTGAAGAGCACTAAATTGCTGATTTTATTTATTTCATTTGTACTTTTGAGTAAATAAATTGCCAGTGATGTTAGAAAAAAAAAAAACAGTTCAGGAACTTTGTACAAGTCAATATTGATCAAAATAAGTGATTATATACATTTTTAACCCAATGGCAAACCCAAGAGATTCCACTCATTGCTTTACATTTTTAAAACTTTACTCAAAGGTTTGAGCTCTTATGCAAAGTCTTAATATGGAGGTATCATTCAGTGGTACCTGATTAATATCTAATGCTCTGTCCATTCTGGGGTTTCTTTCAGCAATCTTCCTTGCGTCCACTCATGTCAGTAGTTTTCAGTAGATTTTACTCAATATTTTGGTTTCATTCAATTCCTTTAATTTAACCCTTGTATGTAGAAATGGGGTCCAACCGACCCCACACACATAAAACTTATATCATTTGCCATAGTCCTCTACGTTTGCCTCAGTCCTCGCTGTTGGATGCAGGTAATGTTAGCTAAAAGATGACTAGCTAATATCAATACAGAACCTTAAGCTTAACAAGTACCTTGTAGGCTACCGATGTTGGTGTCTATTTTCAGCTACGTACATTCATTTTGCCCCCAAAAAAGTCACACGCGTCATATCAACCAGACAGCCATTTGTAATCCATAGGGGGGGCGCAGAAGAAAAAGTTTGGGAACCACTGACCTATATCATCCAAGTATCTTCCTCTGTAAATCTGTCTGGCAGAGAGAGGGAGAGAGACGTTGGAGTTGGGGATATGATGCTTGCCCAGTATGACTGATGCATCCATGAACCTCCTTTTCAACTCCTCTTGTTCAAGTATACTAGTTCAACTATTAGTTGAGCTTTTGAGAATGCAGTCTGCCTTTTATTTTAAAAAGTTGAAATTAAAATAAATAAATGACAATGCATCTCAAATAATTAACAGTCTCAGTTCATATTCTGTGATCATGTATTTAGGTATTTATGCAAGCAGAGCCTCTGATCTACTTTCTGGCGTCCTGAAGAAGGGTCCTGAGTTTGCCTGAGGATTATTTGATGCCTGATTGGTTGTGTGTGTAACCTGGATCTGTCCGTCTGATAAAGCAACTGTGAAACATGAATGTCTCTGCAAGAATAAAGATGTGTACAAAATATTGTTTCCAAACATTCAAAAGCTTCCATTAAAAACTTCTAAAGCTCAGAATAGTTTGGCAGCAGCGTGATGACTGTCTATTTGTGTTTTGTGAAGGTATGTTAAACACTGCTGTTAAGGAAATTGAGGATTTTGATCTCGATCAGAGTGCAGAAGCAGAGCGCTCTACAGTAGACCTGCTGCACATTTTGCTGCGTCACCGTTAGCGCTGTTCTTCTGCTTGTTTGGATTTTTTCTTCCTCTAACTTAAGGGAAGCAATCATGATTTACATCTTGAGTTTAAGCTGCAAATCATGTACTGCAGTACGTGCTTCTATTATCACAGGAATTCCAGTTTAAAATGATAACCTAATACAAGTGTGGCTTCTGACAGCAGTGAAACGAGCATGCCTTTAGAATGCAGTAAAGTCAGCAGGGAGCACAGCATGTGAGCCCCAGCTGGATTTTATACTTGTGTAATATACACAGCGTTTTTATTGCTTATATTGTTTCAGCATGAATATGTGGAGTTTTCATCATAAAAAAATAGTTCCCTTCACGCTGCTGTGCCCTGAAGTTACCCTCACCCACTACCTCTCTTTGCCTTTTCCTCATGTGTTTTTGTTCGATATCATTAGCATTGTAACAAATCTCTTTTCTTACTAGAAGTGCATTTTGATCTTTAATGCTGTTTTCACACCTTTTAGTATATTGGACTCTGCAAGAGTCCAATATACTAAGCGGTTTGATTGGACCAAAACTGGACCAAAACTGCAACATTTGTTACATTTTCAGCTGGTGTGACTGACTTTCACACTGCATTGTGTCAAATGATCTAAACTCTTTGAAAACTGTGGTGGTGCTCCACCAAGAACCACCGAACCAATGGAAACGACACAGAGCGCAACCCCCTCCTTCACAAAATGTAAATAAAAATGGAGTGGCGTGAGGCTTTAGTGGTTCTAGGATTTTACTTTTGTAATTGGTAAAAGATCACAAGTCATTTATTTTAGTGCATCACTAAGTATGCGTCTGCGGTCGTTAAATATCTGCACGTGTCCGGCGGACGACCACACTGAGTCCGTCTTGGAGTATTTGCGGTATTTCTGAGAAGTGAAGTACACCTGAGTCTGTTGGAGGCAAAATTAAACTGTACCTGCTCATATTACACAGCAGGTTTTTACTAAGTAGCCAAAGAGTTAGGTAATGTCAGAAACCTTTCTCAGCTAGGCGGTGAGAGGTTGACCAGCTAACCTCATGAAAAGTTAACCTCACATGGTAACCTCACATGAGTGCCATGCATCCCCCAGAATGCCATGTGATTCTGGAGCGGAGTTCAATGAATTGATCAAAATTCTCTCAGACGTATTTTCTTTTGATAACAATATCAATATCTGTCTATTGCAGTATATATTATTATTATTTTATCACCCAGCCCTACTACAGTGACATCTTTGCACAGAAAAACTCTAATGCCTCTAGAAATCTGTGCGTGATTAACCCCTAATGGACTGGTGTAGCTAATTAGCATCATTCCTCTTTGGTTGCCAGTACAGTGTAGGCCAGTGGTGCCCACAGTGGGTCCTGGAGGGCCAGCATCCTGCATGTTCTAGTTCTCTCCCTTTTGGTCGCAACAACCTTCTCAGCAGGTCAATGTTCTTCTTAGGCCTTCTAACGAGCCATCATTTGATCCAGGTGTGTTAAACCAGGGAGAGAACTAAAGCATGCAGGATGCCGGCCCTCCAGGACCCACTTTAGACATCAGTGGTGTAGGTGCTGTATACTAAAAATATTGGTTGATACAAATACCTCTCATTCTAAGGATACTATTAGAAGTGATTTGATACCTGTGTAGTTGTCCAGGTGTAACTCATAGAGGTGTGCAATTGGCAGAAAGCAGGAAATTTAGAATATAACCTCAATAAATAATCTTAATCCTGAACTAGGTTGTGCAAAAAAAAAAAAAAAAGTGTTCAGGCTTACTAATGTCTTCTACATGTGATATATTAAAAAAGACAGAGTCTGACCACAATTCAAAATATTAAGTTCAAAATTGAGTTTTTGTTTGACATGAATTGAAATGTTCTCTGTTCTTGCCTTTTACTTTTCAGAACTTCCTGTTTTCTGCAGTAGCTGTAAGAGCAGCTCTGTAAACAAAAGTCTCATCTATTGTTGGGTAAAAGGGTTGGGCAAATGACTGTTAAACAGAAGAAGTCAGAGCGCTGTTTTTTAAAAGGCAAAGTTTGTTGGGAACAATCTGTTCCTATGGATTGTTTAAAGGAAGTAGGGAGGATTTCCCCTGTGAATAAATCAGAGCAGTAGAGTGGTGGAAAGTTGGCTTGGAATGAACTGGAAAAATATGACGCAGTGTAAAATGATTTAGTATTTTTCACAAGCACTTAGAGTAATGTGTTCATCTTAATAGGTACCCTGTCAATAAACCACTCTTACAAATTTTCAAGAAAAATGACTGGGGTGTTAAAATCATGCTGATAGATGCTTTAGAACAGATATTTTCTAAATATTTTATTCAAAAGCTTTCCTTATATAAGTTGTTCATGAATCACTTTCTTGTTGTTCTATAGAACGGGCTTTGAAGACTGGCAGCAGACCTGGGAAAAGTAGAAGAAGTCCTTTACAGACCCTTTACAAAGGAGACCAGGTGACAACAAATATACACCTTTCTCTGAATTTATCATAAATGCAGCAACCACAAAACAATTAAAGGACTATGTCAAAAGTGTTGACATAGTCAAAAAGTTGCCTCAGTTTTGGACAAATCTTGAAATTGACTTATTTAATGTTACTTAAAACGACCAACCAGGAGCAAGTTGCATAGCTAATGTGTACAGTATGCATTACAACTGTAAAAAAAAAAATAATAATCTTTATTGTCATTACAGAAACTGTGTAATGACAAAGCAAACTAAGTGATATTTATAACAGAAAGTGTGTGATTCTCACACATACTTTCGCAATGTATTAATGTTTTAACAATTATACATCCTTTATATAGAGCAAAAAGCCCCTAGCACATGCAGCCAACCAGGTCTTCCATATGGTTCTCCTAAAATGTCAAGACAAGACAAAAAATAAATAAGTATTTTGTGGCTGAAATTCCAGCTGGAACTGCTGCTGCTTCTAAACCTTATTGTTTTTAGCATTTTTTTGCAATTAAAGTCAGAGATTTTTTAGATATATTTGCAAATAATTTTGCTATAGTTTTTCCTCATGAAACCTCCTCCAAAATCTACATATAGAAGAAAAGAAATAGCAAGCATATTGGAGAAAAATTAAGTCAGCGCAAGTCAAAAATTAAGTCAAAAATTTGATTAGTAACAGGAATATGCAGTTCTGTCTTTCACTAATGAAAATGATAACGACAGAAAAAAATCTATTTCTATCAGTGAAGTGTTAAACAACCAGGCCTTGATGGATACTGTTCGTCCCATTGTTTTTGTTTACAAGGCTGTTTTTGATCCTCCTCTCACTCGACCTGCTTCATCTTCATCAGAAGCAGCTGAAGCTGTCGGCAGCTCAGAAGTCCCTCCAAGGCCGCAGGAAGGTGTTGGACCAGGCATGTCTGAGCCACACGAAGAAGCGCCGGGTGCTTTCGCCAGAGGATCTCAAACACCTCATTGTGGACGACAAACACGGCCTTATTTACTGCTACGTACCCAAGGTTGGTTTCTGTAGCATAAATCCCACGTTTGTGGGGTTGGAGAGAGTTGATAATCAAGGACCAAAAACGCTTGAATTGCTTTCTACTTCTTTTTTCTTTTGCTGTCATAATTCATAAGAAATAATAACAAGAATTATGTTCTTCTTAAACTGTAGTTATTAGCACAACAGTAACTTCCTTTATCTTCAGTTTCTGTTCATTAGATGCTGAATGGAACAGTTTTTAAAAATTTAATTGAATACTGAGTGGAAGAAGCACAGTGAGTCTTCAACTTGAAGAGAAAGTAAGGATGAGTGAAACCAAGCAACACCCAAATATTTTCACACCCCAATAGTCTCTTCAAAACTTTAAACTTCTGTATCTCATTGGAGATTTTATTTGATAAACTACATCGCATTTTTGCGGTTGTGTTTACCCAGAATGTCCTGTAATAGAGTCCGCTTCCTGCTTTTGGAGTGGTCTCCGGTTCACTTGCTGCTGATATGCATTTGGACTGCATCAGAGTTCACTTTAGCCGAACCCAGAGCTAGGTTTTTAGACAGAACAGAGTTTGCTGTTTTGTTCCGCATCAGAGTTCGATCGCACATTCACTCCTCCCCAAACAAACTGAAGTTTCTAGACAAACAAACTAGAGTTTGATAAAGTGGACTGAACAGGGCTGGTGTGAATGCTCCCTTAGAAGTCTCTAGAACTTTAAAACAGCCTAACTAAAGAGGGTTGATTGCATCTCACTGCTCTTTGTCTCTGTTGTATGACATCCAGGTAGCCTGCACCAACTGGAAGCGTGTGCTGATGGTCCTCTCCAGTAATGGCCGTTACTCCGACCCTCTCGCCATCCCTGCTAACGAGGCCCATGTGGCAGGTAACCTCCGCACGCTCTCTGAATTCTCCGTGACGGAGATAAACCAGCGCCTCCGCAGCTACCTCAAGTTCATTTTTGTGCGGGAGCCCTTTGAGCGCCTTGTTTCAGCCTACCGCAACAAGTTCACACGTAGTTACAACACCGCCTTCCACAAGCGCTACGGAACCAAGATCATCCGCCGGCACCGGGCCAACCCTCAACCGGAAGCCCTGGAGAAAGGAAACGACGTCTCCTTCCGAGAGTTCATCCAGTATCTGGTGGACCCCCGGACACAGCGAGAGGAGCCTTTCAACGAGCACTGGGAGCGGGTGCACTCCCTCTGCCACCCCTGTCTGATCCACTACGACGTGGTGGGGAAGTATGAAACTCTGGAACCTGACGCTCAGGCCGTGCTAAGGCTAGCAGGGGTGGAGGGTAAAGTTCAGTTCCCAACGTCTAGCAAGAGCACCAGGACTGACGGCAACATGGCAGCACGGTTCTTTAAGCACATCAGCCCCTATTATCAGAAGAAACTGTTCAATCTCTACCGCATGGACTTCTTACTCTTTAACTACACCACACCGGAGTATCTGAGGACTCGATGACTAACAGAGACGAGAGGATCCCACGTTCCATCCACACTTTAGAGCGATGATTAGTTTGCACGTTTTGGTTTCTGTTGAAATGACTGATTTCAGGGACATGGAAGAAATAAAGAAACATTCTCATGTGCACAAGATACTATCTGGTGCATATGAGAAAGTTTGTGTTTTTATTTTTCTTCAGTGTCCCCTTAGGGGCTCCGTAGATTCCTATCTGTTGGGGGAAACAAACTCCAATCTCTCAGACAGACAGTTTCCAGACTGATGTAGGTGAATCACGAACTCTTACAAAGAGGTTGTTATTTTTTTGTGACCGTTTGCTATTACTCCAGTTGTCATTGAGCCGGTGAAAAGCGCCTCACCAGCGTTCCTGCTGTGCCCACTACAGTGATAATCCTCTTGTAGCTTTCCTCTTTTAGGAGAATCAATGAGCCATAAATGAAAGCCAGTGTTTTCCAGAGGAGCCGGTTCTCCTCTTTTGCTGGCGATTGTGCTGACTGTGAAGTTTTCCTCGGATTGTTTCTGAGCTGTTATGGAAAGCCTTAATTTATGTACGTATGTCAGCGCAGAGTATTTATTGTCGTATGAAGCGAGGTGTGAAAATAATTTAAATGAAATGACAAGAGGGTTTTGTTTTTTTTTTTTTACCAAGTGTTAGAGTTCAGATTAAGAAAATGTTTTGGGTATCTGGTAGTCTTCTTCAGTTCAGTGAAATTCTCTTCTCAGCATCTTTCCCTGCCCGTATTTAGCTCCGGGACTCTGGGGCTGAACAAACAAGCGCATAGCTGTGGTCATGGCGGGGTCCGGCCCAGCGCTCCCCCGGTCAGAGCCGCCCTTGTTAGAGACAGCATTGGCAGACGAAGGGTTAAATCCACCTACAGCTCTCTGCACTGCAGCGCCTTGTTTCACTTGTTTCAGCAAAAACGCCTTGGAATTTCTGGAGGAATAATTTGGAGCTTACTATAGGAAAACAGCTTCTTAATGGGCTTTACTGTCTTCTGCACCCAAAAGAGGAAACTTTGACACATTTGTGGCTTTTTCTGGATCTGTAGATTGGATTTTACTGCACATTAAAAAAGAAAAGAGTCCAAGTGTTTAACAAGTACAGTCATCTGTCATTGAGTTGCATTGTGGGTAGTGTAGGCCCAAAGAATCTGGATATTTTTGTTCTTTCTTACTTCAGCTGCTGAACCTCAACTTTAACTTTAAGAAAAGTGTTATTTTTGTATGATTTGTTTTGGGAAACAATTAAAGAACTGAAAGGTCCAGTGTGCAGGATGATGCTCTGTCTGTCCACAAGTGCAGGAAGTTAAAAATGTTAAAACATTTCAGTTTTTCTGTTCTATTACAGCAACAGATAGATGTTGAAAGGAAGTGAAAGATCAGCGTTGCTATCATTGTTGTTCTATTGCTGCTTTTAGAACCAGTTCCTGACAGAGAACCATCTTGATGCAACGCCCCTTAAAACTGCTGTTAACTTTCTGTAGACAGTTCCTCCAGGATTTTGCCATTTTTGGGGGTTTGCAATCACTCACTGATTTTGTAGCTGTACTTAAGAAATATTTGCAGATTCCTTCCAAAATGTAACTATAGAAGAAAAAAAAAAAAACACAGTTTTGTTCTTTGCATAATTAGCTTATTTTTTGTTACTCGCCACATTGATCACCATCTGACTTCAGTAAGGCTGAGCAGTGTTGTAGAAGTAAGAAATACTGCAACCTGCAGGTGGGAGTTAGCATCACTTAAACCCAATGTTTTTGACCATTTTTACAAAAAAAAAAAAAAAAAAAAAAAAATTGCAAAAACCCAAAATTATGCTTTGGTGTTTTTAAAAGCAAAT